CGCTCTGATAACGAAATCGTATTGTTTTTCGCGGGCGTATCCCTGGAGCGGAACCTTTTCTGCAATAAAGCAGAAAGGAGGAAGGAAGACAGAAGCTGCGGGACGCGTTCATTCGCACCGGCGCTCGAGCTCGCACGGTTTCTATCTCTCGAATTTTCTTGATTCGATTCGAAACACGGGTCGAAGGCTCGACGTAAAAACGCGTCGGAAGTGTCGACGGTTCCCGAGACCTTTTTACTACCGTGGGATACGCCCGTGTTCGCCGGGAGCTATCGGTCTCGCGCAATCATCCGCTAACCTCAATGAAATCGTGGAGCGATGATCGGATTAACGATAACCGAAGAAAGAAGTAAACGAAAGAAGGAACGCGGAAAAATTCTGTTTATTTCCATCCAATTTTCTGGCCCCAGCTCGCCGCGAATCCTCGATTACGTTTATACCTTTAACTGGAAAGGGCGTATTGAATTCTAAGAGGTTTTCAGCTCATCGGCTGACCTGAAATTCGCTAAAGATCTTTCGCGCTCGAGAGATGACTCTCGGCCATCGCTTGATTCGATATAACAAAATTACAAAGTCTTATGTGCTACATTAAGTTTCGTATGGCATATCGACGCGTGAAATATTGAAACAAAATAGCTTTCCTTAACCTCTCTATGCTCTCTCATTAATTAGTTTCAAGGAATCTCGTCTGCATCTCATCGTAAATCGTTAAATATCTCTACCGAGGAATTTTCAATCGCGAAAAGTTCATTGAATCGCTCAAAAGCCAACGCGATTAATTCCATCGGTGGATATTTTCTAATTTTCGTAAATGCTAATGGAATAAATATTCTTCTCAATTATTAAAGCATTTACTCGCCTCTTCACTTTTCTAGGTCAGAAATCTTTTCTTTCTGCAGCTTCCGAATATATTGTATGACAATTCCACTGACCAAAACACAAATTGCCCAATGTCCCTTTTCCAAATTGAACCTCGTCGGCTTCAACGCGAGCGCAACAACGAAAGAAACCGAACGGAAAATCGGCACGCCTGAATCGCAGCGCGATGTCCATAGAATTTGATCTTTCCCCTATTCAATCGACTGTCTGCACTCAACCCCGACGTCTCGGAGCCCTCTCGATTCTCGAATAATACCGGGGCTGACCTTAAATTGGCCAGAAAAAGAAACGTCTCGTGACGGCGACTTAATGGCCGTTCGTTAACGGAGTCGTCCCGCGATACGCGGTGCTCGTTACCCTGGCCCCGTATCGTGGCAAGAGAAAGCCCCCTTATTATCGTCCGGATGTACTCGTACGTATGCATGTGCGCCGCATAACCACGCGGCATCCTCGTGTGTGTATATATATAGACGTATGTACGGTGCGCGCGTTGTTTTCAGACCGACGAGCTCGCGACACGAGGAACTGCCGCAGGACATTCTTCAAGCTGAAGTGGCCGGACGTAATGGAGGCTGCTCGAAGTACCAACCGCAATGCCCCGTGGGACTCTTCGACTTGATTGGAGTCCTCGGCTGAGCCCTGAAAAACCACCGTCGCGGTGCTCCGCTCCGCGCTTCCGTCAAGAGTAAACAGTTCGATTTTATGCCTCCGTTTCAACCAGTCGGGCGGCCACTCGAAGAACGCTCGAGGACCCCGGCTATTGTGTACTCGGCTGATTGATCGACTCCTATCTCGCCTTGTATCTTCACTGTGAACGCGAGCCGAAGGGACTTGGCTTCTTTCCACGCGAAACCTATCAATTTCGAGACGGTTCGCGAGCGGAGCCGGCATTCCGGCAGGAAACCGGTCGAATTTCGACGCGTCCGACGCTAAAGTCGGATATTTTGGCACGTTAGTTTCAAACTTCCCTCCAAGTTTCGTCTCGGATTCGCTCGGGCTGCAGTAGTTAAAGGTACGCGCGATAAGTAGAGTTAACGCCGGAACTACCGGGTAAGTCAAAGTTACTGATTCCTCTTTTTCGAATTATTCGAAAGGCGAGGGATCCTTTCTCGAGGAGTTACCAAGCGAATTTAACTGAATTGTGAGTCACCTGGGTCCTCGATAGCTCTTTAATGCTAATCGTACCACTTTGCCTGCTGTAACCAGTCAAATAACGGGCTGTAAAATAAACGTAAACAAGTTAGATAATAAATGTTCCGTAGTGAAAACAAAAGGAAAGGCAAGAATTGAAAAACTTAGTAATCGGACAATATAGGCATTGATATTAAAATTACATATACGTAAAGAAACCTATTTTAAATCCGGTTGTATGTGCCCGAACGTCGAATTGACGGAATTCGCGCTGAATTTTTAAGGATGGTTAGACGACGTTAAATTCACAAGCTTTCATTCAATAGTTGAACTGGTAAATAATACAGTGTCGTTTCTACGTTCCTTCAGAGGTCCAAGGCGACAATGTTCCTGGCGAAAAGTGTGGCCGACTTAACACTAAAACTGCCAAGCAATTAAATTGACTTTTTGAAATTGCTCTATAGACTGTTAACTCTAAGAACACGTCTATTGAGACTTTAATTGATTTACAATTCAGTTTGTGTATTGCCAAATCAAATTCTTGAATAGTTTCTCAGAGAAACAGCTGCCATCTTTTTAATAATTGTAAAAAGAATAATCAGGAATGGGTCATTTTGACCTGTCCGGTTGTTTTAGTGTTAAATATGTTAAAATGTAAAAAATAGTCACTTTTCGATGTTCATCGGTGGCTACCGAAAGCCGCTACAATGTCGTAATACCGGTCATTTGACCGGTTCTCGGTACGGTTAGTGTTAAGTTCTTGTATAAAGAAACTAGAAAATGTCGATTGCAATAATGTCGTCTGTGTCGCGCATCGATCCCTCAATTTCGTCGGAGCAAACACGCGGCGATCAAACGCGGTCGAGATTCTTAGACGCGGCGCGAATTCCCGATCAGCCGAAAGTTTGCCCGGCCACTTGCACCGCATGGCCGTGAGCTCGAGATCTGTCGCCGGGATCCTTCGAAGCGGGTATCGAAGATCCCGACGAGGTCTTGGGACTCCCGCGCGGTTTCAGAGGTCTCCGGGAATTTAAACGTTTACCGGCAGCCGCTCTGTCGGAGAACTGTTAAGGTGTTTGACAACTTTCGAGCTTTTCAACCGGCGACGCGACACGGCGGCTCGAATCGGCTCGAACTTCCCGGCGAGCTTGACTCGATTAAAACTCGCGGAACCGAATTCGTGCGAAGCTTGCCTCGTCCAAAGTTACCCCGGTCTGCGAAACGTTATTACAGCTGGGTCCCGTTGCTGACAACCTCGATTTGTCCTGTGCGCCGGTAACTCGTCGTTGCATATTCCGCATCGCGCTCAGCCCCCTTTGTCTTGGCAAAGAGAGGCGACGGAAAAAGAGGACTCCGCGCTGAAGCGACGTCAACTATCTGCGCTTCATCCTAAGATGAAGCTTCATCTCTCGTCATCGATCTCGCGCGATTCACTGTTTCTATCGCGAAAGATTTCGATGCGATAGAACGAGTGCGTATTGCCACATTTTCTTTTACGCGATAAACAAATTACGAATTTGTTCAATGTTATAACGTTTTCTGGTGCGTCGAACGTGGAATAGCGAAATAGGAGTCTTACAAACCTTGGTTTTCATGAAACATTATTTTCCCTTTTACATACATCTCTTTTATATGTATGTACGCGTTTTGTCACGCGTTGCGCGTTTCACGTAACGCTATATTTAAGTTACAGTGAAGCACGCGCGCGATAAATTCACATTAATTCGCATGTGCGAGTAGCGTTAAGGGTAATACTAAAAGATTCATAGGAATCCATATTGTAAAGTGTGCATTTCCATATTACTTGCCGAATGAACGACGATGAAACTGCAATTTATCGCGTCGCTGTTTACGCTGAACTCCTCGCGCATTAATCTCGCCTAATTGTCCCGGAATTAACAGAACATTGTCGTCAGGATTTTTGATGAAATGCGTAAGCATATGCGTACTATAAATGCGTATTATATGAACTGTGTGATACGAAGGTGCGCCGTGGATATCCTATGATATAAAGCTACATAATATATTACGCAGGTATCACATCGCGTGAAGCGCATAATAGAACGATACACAGCACATTACGCGTAACGAATAATACACAGCGGCGTAATACATCGTCCTCTTCCTTATCCCGCCTTATATACACAAGAAACGCCCGTAATGTAAATAATAATTGCATGCTAACCGAGATGCGGCGAGCCCAGCAACGATGCGAGTGTTGCATTACCATCGCATGTCTTCCTTGCTGTGGAGAACCCCTCGGTTCGTAGGATAAGAGATTCTGCGGCGACCGAGTCGCAATCGCAGGGGAGCACTGTATTATGAAAACGTCGTGATCTCGTCGCGTCTTAAATTAACCAGACTTTCCTGTGCTAGAAGAAATCGAGTCCATTCTTATTTCCATCTGCGAACGTCCATATTATCGCGCGGAAATACGCCCTTGGACTCATTAGAAATCCGCGAATTATATAATTGCGACTCTCTTCGTGATATTACACTGTCAATCCTTTTGTTCGAAGTGCTTCTGACTTATCACTTTGAGGTTCGACGTTATTTCATTTAATTACAGCTTAACTCCTTGCTCTATGATTTCTTTCCCAAATGCGCGCAACAGAGGTATTTTATTATTCATTAGAAAAAGAGGAAAATTCTACAACTATTCTATGGCTAAGTTTACTTAGAAGCATTACAATTCATAATGGAAAAATAATATTTAATTCGGACTTGGAAGAGTTAAGTGATATTTATATTTGTTAAATTCCATTTGAATTCTTCGCCACGGGTCTGAGACGATATTGTCAAGGGGTTCATGCGACGCACTGTTTGTTTATTTAAGAATACTTGGGAGCCACTGAAATGGTACCTTTAGTGGTAGCACATCAGTTTTATTCGCAGATATGATTCTTTGTCAAGATATTTTTGAAATAAATTATATTATGTTATTTTCAATAGTATCAGTCAGAAGAATCGTTTACGCTCTCTAGAAGCTAACTATTTTTTGCAAATGTATTTTAAATGAAATACCGTAGTAATACAGAGTCATCGAGAAAAAAACGCAAAAGACATTCGGAATGAAAAAGGTTAACACGTTGATCGCCACAGTGGTCATGGATGACCGGAGCTACTAAAGTGTTTGAAGACAATTATACGAAATTAATGTGGAATCAAAATATTCAATAACACGAGTAACCAAATAACACCATACCACGAGAACTATGACATCAAACTATTAATAACCAATTCCAGTAGTATTTACCTTCATTACGGAAGAACAAGTAATATTATATAAAATACTCAGAATCCTCGTGGCAGTCAACCTGTTAAATGGTACAATTGTGACACTATAAGTAAATTCAGAAAAAATTGTTGAAACAAGCAGGCGTTGAACCTAGCTAAATGTTAAACAATCAATTCGATCCACCGCAGCTCGTTGTCACGTCTCCGTTCTCACGGAGCAACGTAATTTACAAACCTACCGTACACATCTGCGCGCTTACGGAAATCTCCGTCGAACGTTTCCTTTCCGAGCAGAACACAAGTAATGAAGTGAAATAATAAAGAAAAGATAAGAGCGAGACGAGTTCTAATCGAATAAGACCCGCCTGTATTGCGAAGGATCGGCGCGCGATCAATCTAAACCCTGGCGCGGATGATCCATCACAGATTTTCTTCGAGCGAACGATGACGAGACAAATGGTTCGCCGGCTAGTGACATCGATAGCGCGCTGTCCTCATCGGCCAGACGAAGAACGGACGCGCGTTACACGTTTCCGTCTCCCGGCGACGGCCCCCGAAAAGGGTGGCGTGACGAACGACGATGAAATTGGCTCCGGTTCATCGGCAGAACGGTCTGGCGTTGCCCGTCGACGCCTATGAACTCCGAGGCTAGCGTTCTCTTCCCGTGTGAAACAAAGGATCGATGGTGGCCGAGGCTGGGGATACGTGGTCGGGTCCGGGCAGAGCCTGGATTGTCGTAAATCGACGATTGCGGGGGCGTTTCGCGCCAGAGGCTACGAATGAATAAGACGCAGGAAGAAAAATGACGCGGGACCACGCCGGGCGAACGTTCCGTCGGCCTTATTGCCGCTCGACGGAACTTTCCGCGCATGTGGCTAGGTAGCCGAGTTCTCGGGTAGAAATCTTGAAATAATGACGACGCCCTGGATCGAATTTCTTTGTCGTTTATGTCTTCATCGTTTAGTACATTGCGAGGAACGTGGGAATTAGTTAAGGTGGCTCAATGATTAAAAATGCACTTGCAGTAGGACGATAGAAGAGAATTCGGAATAGAGTGATATGAAGTATTTTTCTTCGATGCATTTACAGCGAAGTATTACAATCGCGTGGTTTCGGTTGTTTAACAGCAGATCTATGATTCGTTTAACAGGTAGAGCACTACGAAAGGCTTGACCATTTTTCTGTACAGTTATCCTTTTTAGCAAAGGAAAGTAGCAACAATTATTCACTATTTGGCGTACAATCTTTGCATTATGCTATTATCAACT